TTTCCTTATTTTGTCTGGTTTTTGGTTAAGGGGGGAAGGGGAGGGAGAGGAAGAGGGGAGGGAGGGGGGAAAAGGGGGAAGGAAAAAAAAAAAAAGAAAAAATTGGAGAAGTCATGTAAATTTTGTATAATGTATGTAATGTCAATTATATATTCTCCTGATAAATAAAAATTAAAAAAAAAAAAAAAAGGTGATGGGAGCACAAGAGACGTGTCCAACATCAGTTGGAGACTGTGCCCAGAGAGAGTCAGGAAGTGAAGCCAGCATGTCCTCAGCAGTGTGGTAATCTGTCCGTTCTCTCCCATGTTGGCGAGTCAGCAGGTCGTGTTCAAGGTCGATCAGTTCAGAACTTTCAAACTATATTCTGTATGTGTCACATGATTTTGAATAATACAGACCTGGTGCTGTGGTGCGCGTCCAATCTGTGGTAGCTAGAGAGCGTTTAACCATCCCTCCTAACTCCTTGGCTTGGCGCTCAGGATTTATAGAGAGAGATAAATGGGGGACAGCTTCATCACTCATTTGATACCAGCTAAGCTGTTCAGTGGTCAGTGTTACTGCCGCTGATACTCCCTCAGGAGCTACATAAATATTTTCAATTTTAATTTGCCAAGTCTTACCCTCAAGGTCAGATGAGAAGGCTTCTTGGTACCAGTCTGTGTGTTCCCGGTCATAGAAGAGGGTGACGTGAGGCGGGTCAGAAGGAGAAACGTAGGCACGCAGACTGATGAGCCAGGGCTTCCAGGTCTGGAATGTTTTCAGGAGACAGCTCGACTGTTCATGTGTCAACCGGCCCCAATAGATGTCTGCGTACTCTGGAGTGACAGGGTGTAACAAATATTGTCCATCTGTGATTGAGTCTCTGCAATGCATGATGGAGCCATCTGGTAGCGAAACTGTCAGCCCATCTGCACCACAGAGTACGGTAGCTCCTAGCTTGATCAGCAAGTCTCTTCCCAGTAAGTTCACAGGAGTAGATGGGGAGCAGACAAAAGAATGTTGCAACGTCTGGGCCCCTAGGTTAAAAGTCAATGGTTTTGTTAAGTGCAGACTCTGCTCTTTCCCTGAGAACCCTATCAAAGACACAGTTTTTGATGTTAAACTGTTGATGGGGGTGCTGTTTATAGTCGAATATGTGGCTCCTGTGTCCATTAGAAAGTTCATAGGTTGACCTCCCACTCTGGCAGATAACATGGGGTCTGCAGAAGTCATGTTACCTGACCGGGTCTCAGGGGTGTGTCAATATCGTTGGTACACGTCTTCTTCCCACTGCAGGTACTGGCCACCGGCAGGAGGCGGTATGTTAGCAGGATTGTGTGGAATCATACCTTGTGACCCTCCGCCTTTACTCCCCTGCATGGGTGGGGCTCTGCACTGTCTGTCCCAATGGCCAGGTCTCCCACAGTTGTAGCAGATTTCGTCTTGCAGGTTCCTTTGCCCGGGTGCACCCCAGCCCCCTCGTCCACGCGCCATGCCTCCCCGTGCACGACCACCAGCACGCCAACCTCCTCCACGTCCAGTCCCACCAGACCTGCGCACAAATGGAAAAGACGGGAAGGGAAAAGAGGGATCGGGATATGGAGAGGAGACAAATCCTCCTCCAAGATACTGATTAGTCACAGGTGCGACATTGTTGTGTGTAAGTTGTGAAACATTCCCTGTTCCCGCAGCTAACATCATTTTCTCAGATTTATCCTTGTTCTTTGATACCTTCTGTCGTGCTTCCTGAAGCTGTAACTTGAGGAACTGATTTTCTAGGTCAGCTCTTTCATCTTTTTTTTAATTTTTTTTAACTTGTCCTGTGCCGCCTGCAAATGATGTAGTAAATGTTTTTTCCACTTTTTTTTTTTCATTTACCCTTTATTTATCCAGGTAGTCTCATTGAGCCACGAGAACTCATTTTCAAGAGAGACCTGTTTAGGGAGCAGATGGTGGGATTAAGGGCCTTGCTCAGGGGCCCAGAGTGGGGCGAGTGAGGGTGGAGGGAGGTGTGGGTGTTTCACCTTTTCCACCCACATTTTGATGTTGACGGTACCGGGAGGTGAACCTGCGACTTTCCGATCACAAGCCCATCTTCTAACCTCTGCGCCACCACTTAGCATGCTCGCACCCTGGAAGATCAGGATTTTTCACCATCAGCTCTGACACTTCATCAGGTACTCCCTTCAAAACTGCTTCTCTGAACAATTCAGTCAGATTAGACGGTTCACCTTTTGGATTAACTGTTGCGTGTCTCATCCAAATGTCTACTGCTTGAGTGATGTAATCTTTCGGGTGGACCTTAGGGTCCCATTCAAATTTTGGTATTGCTGCCGGAGTAGACAAAGGGAACTGTCGCTTAATTTGTCTGGCTAATTGTGTAATTACCACTGCTAAAGGAGTGTGGTTTGGCTGAGTGTCAGTGTGGGCGGCTCGTTCCAACTCATGTCCCACCATAGGGGTGACACAACGTCCTAAAATTGCCCTAAAATCTCCTAGTGCCAAAGTCATTCCTCTCGTGAGTCTATCGAGCTCAGATAACCATAAGCTTCCTCCTGCCGAGATACTAGGAAGCTTATCAACCAACGCGTCTCTATCTCCCAAGGGAAAAGGTACATATTTCAGTGTCCCTCCTGCTGACTGCAGTAAGGGGTAGTTTCCCTGCGCCTGTCTTGACCGGAGTGTCATGGGGTGTGTCTTCTCATAGTACTCCGCACAAACTTCTCTTTCTTCTCTCTCATAATCTGCTAACAAATCCTCGTATGCTCCTAGAAGCTCTTCTTCTGTCAGAAAACCTCTTTTTTCTCCTCGCTCCGTGACCTTTCCCTTGGCAACCAGAGAGATGTTAACTCCAGTCTCATCTATACTCATTTTATTCTGCTTTTGCTTCTCTGCCTGTTCAAGCTTTAATCTAATTCTGGTCATCTGTTCCTCAGTCTCATGCGGTGTTTTTTCTACGTCTTGAAATAACTGTACATGATCATCCAACTCGTCCCTCCTCCTATCTTCCTTGTTCTCCACCTCCTCCCCTGACACAGAGGAAGAGGTGGGGCTGAGGGTTTTCTGTCTTTTTTCTGAGTCAATATCTCCTCTTGGCGTAGAGGCGATTTCAAGTTCTGCCCCCATCCAGAGTGGGTTGTGAGGGGGTGGTGGTGTACATTCTCTGGCAGCTGGCTGCACCAATAAGCTTCCATCTAGGATTTCAATGATTGGGTACAGCCCCTTAGGGGCTGTCCATTTGTCTGTTAATGGGCCCGCCTCCTGAGTGGGCCCCTCACCACTCAGATAAGGAGGTGGCAGTGAGCTGGAGGCCACATCCTGTTTTTTCTGCACTAGACCATGCTTTATTCCCTGCCAGGATACCAACATTTTTTTCACACTTCCTCAACTCCCTCTCGACTTCCTCTCTGTCTCTTTTAAATCTACATCTGGCCCCTGAGGGCAACCATCCACTCCGATGTGGCCCCTCGGCGGAAACGAGTTCAACACCCCTGCAACACCAAGGGTGCGGAGCCTGCCCACAAAAACACTGCTACTTTCCTTTTCTTCTTCTTTTTTATTTTTATTTTTATTTTTATTTTTTTTTTAGCTAAAGGCCAATTTTAAAACCTACATTAACTCAAATCTGATACCCAACATCTTTTCTAGGTCATGGCCAATGTTATTTGGGAACTGTCAATCACATACAGAAATTCAAATACAAATAGATGGAGTGAAAATTGAAAGAGTTCATGAAAACAAATTTCTTGGTGTCATTATTGATGATAAACTCAACTGGAAACCACACATAAAATATGTTCAAAGTAAAGTCTCAAGAAATATCGCCCTCTTAAACAAAGCCAAGTTGGTCATAGAACAAAAAGCATTACATGTACTCTACTGTTAACTAATCTTACCTTATTTAAGCTATTGTGCAGAAATCTGGGGCAATAATTATAAAACTACACTACAGGCATTAACAATACTACAAAAAAGAGCAATAAGAATAATCCATAAGGTGGGATATTTAGAAAGCACTAATATACTATTTGTAAAATCTAAATTATTAAAGTTCATTGACATATTGAAACTACAGACAGCTCTAATTCTATACAAAGCAAAAAATAAACAATTACCAGAAAACATTCAAAACCTGTTTAAAATTAAGGAGCAAATTTATATGTTATGGGGGGAATCACAGTTTAAAATATGCTAATTCAGAACTACTAGAAAAAACTTT